ATATTGTAGATAATTTTTTTGTTTAAACACGATATGTTAATTATTAAATTTGTAAATCCTTACTTAGAAAAAGATAAGTCCATTCACTTCTGAGTTCCGAATGACAATACAGACTGAACGATAAGTGAACGCTGAACGCAAGGTGAACGAACGAAGAGCGAACGCTTTGTGAACGGTGAACGCGAGCGCACGGTGAACGCAAAACTGTTAACGGAGAGCGAACGGTGAACGCACGCTGAACGAACGGAAAAATGGGAAAGTAGACGTTTCAGGGACTGTAATAGGTTTTTTTTTTTTTTACCTTAGTGAATCTTGATTTATGAACATTTTTCTTTAGTCAAAAAAGCGGGGTTTCTCAGCGTCAATTATAGAGCCAAAAGAAAGCTGGTATTCAAATGAACCTAACAAAGCTGAATTACAGATAAGAAATTTGTTATCCTTCGCTGGTTATTTAAAGACAGAGGGTCCTATAACAATCGTAAGCAGGTATATCAAAGTTAAAGAATTACGAAGTATTCATAGGAGGATTTTACAATGATAACAACAACAATGTTCTAGATTAGCCTTTTTATGATTTTATAATATGTACATGTACGAGTATTGTATATACATATAATTTATATTTTATCATTTTTCAATTTCTCTGTAAAATTATTTATAACCCTTTGCTTTCATGCTAAGGCATACATAATGATGAATCGTACACGTGCTTTTGATTTCAAGTGACGGTGCATCCCTTTGTGGAGTGTTCTGTGCGTTACACAATACAAAACAACAGTTCTATATGGACGGGGAAGTGGACATTTTCTCTACTGTCCGTCACTTACAGATACGACGGCCAGAACTCTGCTCTACAATGGTATATTCTATTATAAATGTTGTCAAGTTACTTATTTTGATGGGTTACAAATGGTTCGAAAAAATAAAAAAAAAATTGATTCGTGGTTAGTAGACAGACATGATACAGTTGTTTGATTTTTGTTTTTTTTAATTTTGTGGTTGACATGATGTCTTGGGTGTCTTCCGACCAAGAAAACGAAAAAGAGTGATTTTACAGTTCCTATTAAATATAAAATATACGATAGTCTATTCAGCGAAATTCACATTAACTATGTGTCCTTTTATAAGAAAAAGTGAGGGACAGACAGAATACAAAATATTCATATGTTTGTTTGTTTTTTATTTTAGGAGGAGTATAAAATGATTTACGATGGGTTCGAATCTTTGAGAAAGCCAATAATTGGATGCGGCACATGCTTTCTCGAAGTTCGTAGGAACATACAGAGTTTGAGGAAATCGTCAAAGCGTTGAAGGAATATTTATTGACACATATATTGTGATTAGAGACTGAATAATACACTTTTCCTTTTAATAGTTTCTGATTGAGAGGTCATTATGTTGTTGGTTGCTGTGGTGTTTAAGACGTCTTTGCTGCATAAATTAACATTCATTTCTGGTGGCAGGAAATCTCGCTGACATCATAAGCAGTTATATATCAGTCTTCAATATTAAATATTATAACTTTTACTGTTTGAATTGAAATGCTTGATTTTGCTTCTATTTGATTCTGCTGTTTTAAAGTCAAATCACAAAACCCGCTACTGGGTTGTATGATCTACATATCAATCTATTATTACAAACTGTATGCTGATTTATCTTTTTAACTTGCTCATTTAAACGCTTGTTTAATAAATACTTGTATGCTAGTTATGCTTATTTCTTATGCTGATCTGATGCTCTGAATACATATGATTTTTGTCAAACATTGTCTCTCACTTAGTTAATGTAAATTACTTTGTGAAAATTATTTTATGTCTTGTACACACAGGTCTCCAATCAATCAATTTGATATTTGCGCAGATTAAATAAATAATTACTCCAAACTCCATGTTTATCATTGTGCTGATTTTTTTTATTTAGGAGATGTGTCGACTTGATATTTCAAAGCATTTTGTACGTGTTGGTCACGGCGGGTGTGACCGGTCAACAAGGGATGCCTACTCCTCCTAGGCACCTGATCCCACCTCTGAAATATCCATGGGTCCGTGTTTTAAGATCACTCACATATTTGTATTCTTTATAGATTTTTTTTAAAGCGATCACTGTTCGTTATCTTCACCTTTTTGATTTAAAATAAGCTTTAGACCTTATTGAATGTTCCATGACACTTGTTTATGATAACTCTATTTTTCATAGATATAAATTGAAGGAAGTGGTAGGAAAATATTATATACCTGTTTATAAATTGGTTCAAATAAAAAAAGCCAGTTGTGAACTGAAGAACGAAGTTAAGGGCCCACTTTCTTCAAATCAAGGCACCTAGTTTAAGGACGGGATCACGACAGAGGATCCAACATTTACATTAAAATAAATGGGTAAAAGTCTTTGAAGACCTTATTCTCAAGAACAATAATAGAATTTTTCCTTTGCATACTATCTAAAATTCGATCAGTTTTTTTTAAATAATAGTCCTCGAGGCTAAGTATGCGTAAATCGGGGATCATATTTTAAATGTTTTTAAAGTTAACGCCTTCTCTATACTAGCAAGTCTATATTAGCCATACTGATGGTGGAGCGTCCCCATAATAATTAGATTCAAGTTCGGAATGCCATGATCCTTTGGAGCCAGATTTTTTCATTTGAAAAAAGGGAAATCCAATCTTGTAAGAAGAAAATCAGGGAGAGGGTGATTCAGACTAACGTTATGGCATATTGGCCTTTGTTAACCCATATCTGTCGTCCATAAATAAGACAAGCCGCAACCATTCATAATACTCTATAGTAAGCGAAGGCAAGAGATGTAACAATAGTAAGCCCAAGGCAAGAGATGTAACGATGCCAATGAATGTATATTTGTAGTACGTATACGTATGTCCTTTGCTTGAGATGTCAAAGTGAAGAAAACGAACAGTGCTCGATCTAAAAAAAAAAATTCTACATCTATTACAAATTTGTTATCAAGGCATAAAAGAAATTTCAAAAATGGGGTCAGATGCCTAGGAGGAATACACATTCCCTGTTGACATGTCACACCTGCTATGAGCTATACGTATTGATCAGTTAGAGAGAACATTGCTTACTCAAATTTAGTATAAAAGCAAATGCCAATTGGTATGAAACAAATCAGCCAAAGCACGACCAAGTGATGCGTTATATTCGCTCACAAGATCACTGTTACGACAAAATAATTTACGAAATTTACAAAAAACGATTTTTCCCCAGAAGGTAATCTTTTTTTCTCGGGTTATCGATAACCACAAGTAGGAGTCTACCAAGTTAATGTACTAGCGTTCAAATCTTACAATGTCTGAGGTGAAATTCTTTTTTTATTTACATCAATTTTCGTACATCCTCCTACTTTACAACGTTACAATAAAACTTGAACAATTTTGGCAAACATATCTATTTCGCAACCCAGAGGAAGATTGTGTTCTTTGCAGATAACGATCACGCTATACATGTACATAGCTTAAACGAATTCGTTGTATTGTTTTGTTCAAATACATGTATTTTGATTTAAAGACTCCAGTTTTTCGAAAATGTCTAAACGTGATCCACGATACGAAGAATGTGCATTATTTGTGCTAAGCTACATCGTTTAAATGAAACAAAACTAGCTAATGTCTGTGTAATTGAATATAAAATAAAATTAAACAAGATGTGTTTGTGAAACATTATGCCCCCGTATGGCAGCTTATTGCGAAGGTTAAAGTTTCTCAAATGCAAGTCAAAATCCAGGCCAAAAGATAAAAAAAAATGTTGGTACCCAAAGAAAGGTCTTGTCTCGAGGAATATACATGTGAAATTTGAAAGACCTAGCTGCAACTGTTCAAAAGTTAGGGCGAAGGTTAAAGTTTTTTAAAAGTAGGTAAAATGTCAAGGTCAAAGTGGTTGGTATCCAAAGAAAGCTCTTGTCACAAGAATTACATTTGTGAATTATGAAAGCCCTAGCACTAACCATTCAAACGTTATGGCCAAGGTTAAAATTTTTCAAAAGTAGGTCAAACTCCTATGTCAAGGTCAAAGAGTCAAAGTGGTTGGTATCCAAAGAAAGGTTATGTCACAAGGATTAAATATGTGAAGTAACAAAGCCCAAGCATCAACCATTCAAAAGTTATGGCCAAGGTTAAAGTTTTTCAAAAGTAGGTCAAACTCCTAGGTCAAGGTTAAAAGGTCAAAGTGGTTGGTATCCAAAAAAAAAGTCTTGTCACAAGGATTACATATTTGAAGTATGAAAGCCCTAGCTCCAACCATTCAAAAGTTATGGCCAAGGTTAAAGTTTTTCAAAAGTAGGTCAAACTCCAAGGTCAAGGTCAAAGGGTCATTGTGGTTGGTGTCCAAAGGAAGGTCTTGTCACAAGAATTACATATGTGAAATATAAAAGCCCTAGCTCCAACCATTCAAAAGTTATGGCCAAGGTTAAAGTGTTTTCAAAAGTAGGTCAAACTCCAAGGTCAAGGTCAAAAGGTCAAAGTTGTTGGTATCCAATGGAAGGCCTTGTCACAAATACATGTGAAGTTTGAAACCCCAAGCACCAACTGTTCAGAAGTTATGGCCAAGGTTAAAGTCTCATAATATTTTGCAAAAGGGGTCAAACTCCAAGGTCAAGGTCAAAAGGTCAAATATGATGGTACTCAAAGAAAGGTCTTGTCACAAGGAATACACATGAGAAATATGAAAGTCATAGCTCCAACCAATCAAAAGTTATGGGCAAGGTTAAAGTTGACAACAGACAGACAGACAAACAGACAGACAGGACAAAAACAATATACCCCCGGGATCTTTCGATCCGGGGGCATAAAAAAATTTGAATCATAATAAACATAATATTGTTATATTACACAAGTCTATCATACGTTTAAAATCGTAATATATAATCATTTAAATGTAAAGTTTAACATTCTATAATAGAGATACAGAACATACATATACATGTATATTTTACCTATAGAAACAAGGCCTTATTTTGTATCAATAAATAAAAGTATAATAATGTTTGTTTTGATAATGAACATACAAAAGACTGTTCATATAAAAAGAAATATATTTCATTCTTATGAAAGAAAATAACAGATAGAAAATATTCATATTTCTAAAAACAGTCTTGCACGACGATGCTTTTTATTGGTTGTAGTAAACATTTTCCTTAGATGAGTCTTCTTGTACCCGGATGTAATCCAACACGACACCGTAAATCATTCTGTACTCCTCCTTAAAAACCATATAAGAATGAAAATATCAAATTCACAATAAGAATAAAAGAGTCCATAGAAGGATTTTTTGCCCCTAACTTTTTTTATGACCGTTTCTACCTCCAATGAAAAACAGAAAACTTACTTATGAAAGGTGAAATTCAGAAATTAATTATCATCTCATCTTAAAATATAAACAATAGTTATTTAAAGATTTTATGTTTTTATTTATTTCGGTTTTTGCATTTCTTTGTGGAGCTTTTCAGAGAATATTAATGTATATATATGAAATATATTTTTTTTTATGTTTTAATGATGAAAAATTACCATGGAAGAGCAGAGTTCTGGTCGTCTTATCTGTAACTGACGAACAGTAGAGAAAATGTCCACCTCTCCGTCCATAGACAACTGTTGTAGTACATTGTATACAGAGCAGAACACTCCACATAGGGATGCACCGTCACTGATAATCAAAAGCAATTTTTTTATCGTCAACATTCTTATGTCGCAACTAATAAAATTAATCAAATATTGCTTGATGTTTTCCTTAGATTTAACTCAATATATTCAAAATTCATTCTTTCAGAATAATATTTTACAAGGGGTCTTTTTTTTCCTATATACATATTTTTTATGAATAAGAACATTAGAATAAAGTCTGCACATAGAAGTACGAACTTCTACAGATTATCAAAATATCTTCCCTTTAAAAAACCGTTCACGGTAGCTCAGTCGGTAGAGCGCTCGCTCCGTGATCGGGAGGTCGTGAGTTCGAATCTTGGCCGCGACAGACCTAAGTCGATAAAAAATAGGTAGCAACTGTTCCTTCGCCATGCGCTCGGCACTTTGGAGTGAAAGTTGCGGGTCTTTCGGATGAGACCTTAAAAACCGAGGCCCCGTGTCACGGCAGGCGTTGGCACGATAAAGATCCCTCAGTGCTCAATGGCCCTGAGTGCCGAGTAAAGGTCAAAATTTGAAGCCCTTCACCGGTATATGGTGACGTCTCTATATGAGTGAAAAATTCTCGAATGGGACGTAAAACAATACACAATCAATCAATCAATCCCTTTAAAAATATGTGTTTTTAAAAAATGAAAGATATTTTAGGGTAAGTTTTGTTTGTTTTTTTTAAAATACACGTTAACATTTCTATTACTCCATTGTTAAGAAAACAAATACTATGTATGTTACATGCATTATGCATTGTCATCACCAGAATAGTCAGGGTCAAGTTGTCGAAATATTGAAGCTGATTAAACGTTTGAATTTACGGCAAATATTAATCTTATAGATATAGTATAATTCTATAAACACAACTATGGTTCCTTCATTAAACATTCTTTAGAAAGACTAACTTTCTATAGATCGCCATGTAAATTTATCTTATTTGTCTTGATCAAATCTTGACGAATATCCATACAGATAAATCCTACTATCAATATCATCAATCACCTGCTGACTATGGTAATAGCACCCTCTGTGTCACTCTGTAGTGCAAAGGTAACCATACGTAACATCTGTTCTGAAGCCTGGGAAAGCTGTGCATTTTTCAAGCTTCCTTTTGGCTCCACAATCGATACTGGAGATCCTTGGTCCGACTGAAAAGTTTAAATTGAGTTTAGTGTTATTGTGAATGGCAATGGATTTGGTATCATTTTATAAATATCATTTTAAATATCTTTACATCGAACTGATTTGAATCCACATTTTCTAAACGTAGCCCAGCAATACTATTTTTACCTACCCCTCTCTGTGTAATACTGATTGTCGTACATTTAATATCAGTAACCTGTTGATGCCCACATTGTACAGTAAAAGGAAACACAGTTTTCGAATTATTGGTGACTGGTAGCCATGTTTTGATCTGTCAAAATGAAGAAAATGGAATGAGGTAAATAGGTCAATTCAAAAATGACATTTTGTGTTTGTTAAAACAATTTTAAACACAATCTCAACGATGACTCATTTACTTACCGGCTTAATATCATTGAGAGGATCCATGCAAATCAACAAATCAGATTCGTGATCAGTGAGAAGGCGCAGGAAGTCTACAGCGTCCTCTGACGAGGGATATTGTGTCACTATGAACGCGTTGGGATTGGTATAAGACTACAAATACATAATTGAGACGCGGTTATCTTTGCCTTAAGTAAAGAAAAGCATTTGTATTGATTTAGCAAAAGAAATTTTCACTAAAGAGATTCTTACCCAGGTTCACGTAGAGTTTTGAAAACATTTGTCATTTGAAGTAAAAACTTCCCTATGGAATTTGGGTATAATGAAATCTCGGTTACAATAAAAATCGTTATGTCTTTACACTTTCTTAATTGAATATAAAGATTTTTTTAGTTAAAAGGAAGGAAAAATCATGTCCCTGGGACTTTTTAAGAGAATTTTTTTTTACATGATTCTTTTTATTTTTACAATATTGAATGAATTATGTAATATGATTGTCAGTAATTTTTTTTACGGATTATCACTGAAGGACTTTGATTGAAAATAAAATTTTACATACAGGAAGTGTAACTGCGTTAATGTAATTTCCACGCTTTGGCACACTTGAAGACAGGAAAACACTGTATTTGTCAACTGTACAAAAGGAAAGAAAAACCTGCATTTTCTAACAAATTGATTTTTTTCTTTTACTTACCCTACAATTTAAGTAGGCAATTAATCAAAGCAAGGGTGTACAATGCATGTAAATTTCATCAAGGAATGCATGAGTACTAATTAGCAAGGGAGACAATTTATACAATTCAATCACTTATCAGGGTTCGACACTAACTTTTTTAGGCTTTAGTCCTGCCGGACTAGTGCTTCTTTACTTTTACTAGTCCGCATGCAATTTTATGAGTCCGTCAAAAAAAGGAAAAATCAATGTTTTGGAACATTAATCTAAAAATAAACATTTCAATATACTTTTTTTTTTAAATATACTTTTATTAAATAAACAAAGCATTTACGTGAAAGGGTTTATTCCCCAGCACGGATTCTTTGAAATCTCGTGATCAACGAGTACGATCGTGTTCCCGATGTTACATTACATAAAAAAAACCGTCCTTCGGATGAAACCGTATAAACCGGGGTCCCGTGTCGCAGTAGGTGCTGGCAAGAAAAAGATCCCTCACTGCTCAATGGCCTTAAGTGCTGAGTATAGCTCTCCACCGGCAAGTGGTGGCATCTCCATATGAGTGAAAAATTCTCAAGAGGGGCGTTAAACAACATACAAACAAACAAACAAACATCCAAAATGTCTGACATCTTTCTTTTATGTGTCATATAAATTATGATCGCTAAAACGTTTTACTTCATATATATCAGTCGAAAAATTAAGCGCTGACTCGAAATTGTCTAACTACCCGCCAAGAAGCTAGAAAGCTAAAAATAAATGCGGGGTTTTCCAGTAAAAGTTGTGGAGAATCGGACATTAGTAAATTATTCATATTGTTTTCCAGGAATTTTTATTGGTCCGTTCGGACTAATTAGCCACAGATTTTATTAGTCCGAATAAAAATGTATTAGTCTGAGGCTAACGGACTAACGTTAGTGTCGAACCCTGACTTATGTATCAATTACTTATAAGCAAACAATAGTATTCAAAAAGTTGTCGACGTCTTAATGTAGACGTACTTAACAGTACATAGGGAAAATTATCCTGAATTATATAATGTTCTTATCAGAACTAGCTCTCCGAAAAAAAAAGACAGACCGGAATCTGGTTGTCCATTCCACTTTTTCAGATCTGCAGCTTATCCTTGATAAGAAGTTAATCTCAAAGTCACAGGGCATAAATGGCAAAAAGCCTTTGTGTTAGGAATGCAGCTTATGTCTTTTTCACGGGTAAAAATCATTTGTGGCAGAAGATGTACGGATGACAGATATTTTGTTAGAACCGATCAGAGGGAATTTTTTTGCCTCTATTATTAGTGAAGTGGCAGTTCTTTTAGGGAAATTATATTAAAAGATTCATTATTTCTTTCAATGATTAGTGAAGAGACAGTCTTTTAGGGAAATTACAGATAGATTCGATTTAAGCTACTTACGTGGAAGAACAGATGATTTACTATGTCCACTTTGTAAAGCGACTTTGTAATCAACTTCTGTGTACGAGGGCCGCACTTTTAGAAGATTCTAAAAGTTATTTTTTTTCAGTAATTTATTTCAAGTGAGATACGTATGTATTGGACATTTTTTGACACGTATTAATTTAAAAAATACATTTTACAAATATATAAATTTTTTTCATTTAATATGCCAAAATATAGTTTCAAGTATTTTCCATCAGATTTTTGCATTATGATTATTTTTTTTCTTTCCCAGTCCTGTGAGTTTGTTTCCAATTACCTGGAACTCCTCTCTTATTTCACATTTATTGACTGGTTTATCCCGTGTCATTAACTCTGCTCTCCTTACAAATTCTGATTTGGTGTGTAAGTATGTTGGCGCCTTAAATATGGAGTCAAGTGCCAGAAAAATAGTCATGTACTGTTCCTGATATATTGAAAAAAATATCAAACCATACGATGCTCGTCATAATCCTACCATTCTAATTTTCTATATTTTCCTGATTGAGATCTGAGCTTATTTAACTTTATTAGTGCATTTGATACATCTATTTTATTTAATTATTATCCATAAGCATTCTGCATGAAAGAATTGTGTAAACTGAACGACGTTTTGAAAATATTATTTTAGAACACTCTGCTCATCAGAATTAAAGTGTTTGAATAGTAATTTTTGTAAATTCATTAACTGTACATGTGAATAAAGTTTCAATTAACTAATTAATTGTTAACGCACATAAGTCTGAACCATGTTCATTCTGTTTTCCCTCATTTTCTTGACGTATTCCGCGATGTTGATTTTCCTGTTTGTTTTGCCAGCCTTGTACAAAGCGTCAATAGCGATATATGTGCCCGTTCGACCAATTCCAGCACTGAAATATAAGAAAATATATGATTTAGATATAAAACGAAGAATTCCATGTTAATACATAAATAATGTTGACAATTTAGTTCAAAGAATATTTGATATGGAATAAAAGTCCAGTTTTGCTGTGTTACTTGGTTAAAAAAAAATTTAAAAAGGGGGAAAGTTGCAGAAACCCTGTCTACCTTTCATTGATATATTTCTACAAAAAATTACATCTTCGTTTTCATCAAGAGCAAACGTTCGCTGTGTTTACAAATAACTTTGTTCATTTGACCTGCAGTGTACTAATGTTGGGCCTCCATTTTGTGTATCTTTTGACCTTGTCACGTGATCATGGAAAACTACAAGACAGAGCGGATCCGGTGTGCCGTGATCCGGCCAGGCGGTGTAGTGGTACTGTGTCACCATGCGAGATTTCTTTTGCTGATGATAAATAAACATAAAAAAGAATGTTGAATCTTCTACAATTTCAATTCTATGGGTGATATGCATTACGAGAAAGGATAATTTGCATTGGTGTTAAGTTTAATAAAACATAGTATTTATTTCCTGTAAATATGATTTTTAATACACTTAAGCCTTCCTGAAGCAAAATTGTAAAGTTCTGACCCCTAAGAAAGGACAATTTTTTTTGGGGGGGGGGGAGGGGGGACAATATCTCTTTTTTTAAAAAGTGATTTACATTTTAAAAAATCCTTCCAGAAATAATGAATTCTTTTATTAAAGTGTCAGATCCATTTTTATTCAAACAGTGTAAAAAATTCAATGTTACCGGAACATTAGTATGAAACTTTTCAGTGTTAGGGACAGCTTGTTGTGTGAATTAATTTCCAACACTGAGGGGGAGAACACCATTTTGAAGCTTTATCTCTGATAAAATTTATATTTCATTGTAAAATCAAAACTATTGAAAATGTTATTGACTTACCACTTTATTGGTAATTCTGAATTTCCTGATATTGTAATAGGCATAGATTTTCTCTTCCTCCCCACGTAAGGAAATCACACCAAAAGTACTGGATTGATGTAAATCAGGCCAGTACTTAAAGCATTTTGTCTAGTAAGTAAACGTTTAATAAAGTAAGAGTAAATATTAAAAAAATCTGTTGAATATAAAATTACATATCCTAGGAGGAGTAGGAAAACAAAAAAAGCTGATTTTTTAATTTGACGACATTAGAGGTACACTGTTAAATATTAATTTCTGTAAAGATGAAACATTATAAAATTAGCTATCATTTTGTCCTGGTTTGTGAAAAATCACATCAGCCCCAAAATGCAATTTCCTGGGACTTGTAAACTTAAGATTTAATTACTTTTTTTCCTTCTATGAGGTTGGTAACCATAACTATTTGGTTTACTTCTTCTTGCCATATCATTGTCCAAAAGTCTGTAACAGTGTTCTGACGAGGTCCTTGATACAGAATTAAATATATATTTGCAAAATTAGATATGCTTGAGCGTCATTCAAAAAATACGTCTATAAAGTCCTCCTCTTCCTAGCATTTTCACAAAATATAAGATCAACACATTTTCAGATGTGCATACATCTTTCATCGACGTGTGATGTTTCTTTCATTTCACAGGATGAACCTACACCATTCAGTTAGCTGAATGGTGACTGAAAGGTCTGGAAAAGTCAATGAATAGCAGAGTTGTGCCATTCAGTCACCTTGTACATTCAGTCACCTTTCCGTTAACTGAATGGCAGAGTTACATCCTGTGTTTGGTCAAGTGGAACTCATGTTACTTAATCTTTAAAAACATGCTTTCCCACCACGGAGCACTTTTAACAATACTGTAACGTCAAAAACAACGAAATGAAAGTTACTCAAAAATATTCTCCATCTACATTTCAAACACGGTTTATAGCCCTTCCCCATTCATTAAAACTGTCTCCATAATACTTGACACTCTTAGTTAGATAAGCATTGCTCGAGTAAATTAAGTTAGTTTGTCAGATTTTCAAATTCTTTACCGTGTAGCTCTGCTATAAAAAGTTCCTTAACAGTGAAGCGCGCTTAAGAATTTTCATCTTCTCAAGAACCACTGGGCCAATTTCAACCAAACTTGCCACAAAGTATCCTTGGGTAAAGGGGATTTTAATTTGTTCAAATGAAGGGCCATGCCTGCTTCCAAGGAGAGATAATTACGAATTTGTGGTAAACTAATGGCATCTTAAAAAAAATATTTCTTCTCAAAACCCACTATGCTAGAAAATATGAAACTTATGTGGAAGCATCCTCAGGTAGTGTAGATTCAAATTGTTAAAATCATGACCCTTGGGGGTAGGGTAAGGCCACAGTGGACGTTTTACATAGGAATACATAGCGAAAATATTTAAAAATCTTCTCAAGAACAGCAAAGCCACGATTTGCCATATTTACATGGGGTAGGTTGGGGCCACAGTGGCCGATCAAAGTTCTACAAAGGAATACATAGGGAATTTCTTTAAAAATCTTCTTCTCAAGAACAGCAAATCCATTGGTCATATTTGTATGGAATCAACCTCAGTAGTGTAGATTCAAGTTTGTTTAAAACATGACCTCTAGGGGTAGGGTAAGGCCACAGTGGGTGATCAAAATTTTACATAGGAATACATAGGAAAAATCTTTTAAAAATCTTACTCTCAAGAACAGCAAAGCTGTGATTGGTCATAATAAAATAAAAGCATTCTCAAGTAATGTAGATTAAAATTTGTTCAAATCATAACCCCCAGGATTATAGAGGTGCCAAAGCAGGGGAACATACTTATAGAAAGGATCAATAAAAATTTCTACTTAAGAACAGGAAAGCCATTATTAGTTATATTAATTCAAAAGCATCTTTAGGTGGTATAGATTCAAGTTTGTTCAAATCATAAGCCCCCCCCCCCCCCAAAAAAAAACCACTTTAGTGTTGAAACTTTTGAATACTAAATAGATTTCTGCTTTTTCCTTGCCAAATTGCTCAGATGAGCGATGTGGTCCATGGGTCTTTTGTTTAAATCCATAATCTGTTTACTCTGGGACTGTCCTTTGCGTGATTCAAAGTCTCTACAAATCAGAGTTTATTTTAGATGTTTACCGAATTTTTGCAGTCTTTAATTAAAAATAATTTTGAAATACTGTATACCTTTTTTACGGAGTCATAATTATGCGAAGTCCCAATTTCTGTTTAATCCGCGCGCAGAAAATAACGTGGATTTCTTAGATAGCTTCTATTTGTCTTAAAAGTTCTTTAAGTATATTGGGACATATTTCCGCCGAAGATTTGTGGCCGTGTACATAGATTAAACATACGGAAAAATATACTTATAGAGTATATAGCATGATATATTTGATTTTTTTATTCAAATGATTTCGATATTTTGTAAAAATATGTCTACAGAATTTGATTATGAAATGACACGAGATAAAAAGTTATGAAAAGAATTTACCTCTTTTTTGAAGAACCCTAATTTTAATTCTTTAATTGTAATTTTGCTGTATTATGTGTTTATACAAAGATAATAAATGAATCAATGAACAGAAAGAAATCTTTACCTTGTGAAGCAATATATGCATTTATTTTATCAATACCCTGAAAATTAAAAAAAAAACAAAATATTTTATGACAGAAAGTCCTAGATGAATAACAAACTACTTTTAATCTGTAACGATCCTAAAAAGTATTCTGAAAATATTCGATACAGAGCGTTAACAAATAATGTAATAGTGTCTTTAAGACCTTACAATTTTCAGATAATGATTTTTTTTTCTCTTTTAAAAGACTAGTTTTTGTGCTTTTCATTTTCAGCATTTCTTCCTAATAGAAAAAACGGCTTCAGAGGAATCCATTAGGTTTTTAAGAATCTGATTTCCGTACATATGATTTAATAGCACCATGAATAATATACTTTTTGAGTGTCATCTCATAAGCACTTACGTCAATAAAATTAGCGTTGATGTAGTTCGACTGACTGTTCAATAATTTGATTCTGGAATGATCGTCTGAAAGTATTAAATTTTTAAATTACTTTTTAAGTTTATTTAAAAAATACTACCGTCTGAATTATGTATCCACTTATTACTTCAACATCAGTATTTGAAGACATGACATACAAGGGAAGGTTGTCTTGTATCTGTTTTTAGGTAAGTTATCTGGTTGTTTTCCAGCGTTGCAAGGGTATCTCTCACCGTAAGGCATGCCCTAATTTTCAAATGAAATGATTTAAATCAATACAAAATGCATTTAAATGTTTTTGGAACTTGGTCAACTTTAAGTTACTATATGGTAAATCTATCGTACAAACCCTCACTAACTAAACGTCGTTCTTTTTCTTACCGCATACTCTCTTTTGAAGCCATCATCTTCATTTTTCCGTTTTTCCTCAATAGTACATTCTAATTCCTCAACATTTATATCTGGGATTGTTCTCTCATTTACATACAGGTCTCCGTATGGATTTTCTTCGTGTATTTTTTCATCATTGTCAATATCATCGTCCCCCTCAACTTTGCTAGTCTTTTGTGCAGATTGTGAATTTCCCTCCATATCCTCAACAATATTGTTTAAATCTGTCGGTGACGTAGCTTAATCGAAAAACATAGAGTAGTTACTGACAAAGAGTAGTTACTGACATTATTTGTCGAAAAGCGCATCTGGTCCATCAAGATTTGTACCGTGTATAATTTACATTGCTAAAATGTTAAGATTTGTTTCTGACTATCACAGCAAACTTGCAAACGTAATGCTCCTATTAAAAATCACCAATATGCTCGTTCAGAAATTCTAAATAACCGAAAATTTAACATTCAGCGCTTCAGGTAAAGGCAGTCTTATATTGTTTCAACTTGAAATTATATAGTTTATAACACTGAAATTAAATTAAGTGCAACCCACATTTTATTTTTTG